GGATCACTGCTGTCAGCTGGTCTCACCAGGCGGATGGATCAGGCTGGTTTTGTGCCTCCAGGAAAAGCCAGACCCCTCCCATGCATCACCAGAAAGACCCAAAAGCAAAACCCACACACTCTCAGCACAGAGCTGCCTGCAACACTTCAGTCCTCCTGGCCTCGGAGTCCAACAGAAACACTGCACACTTCTCCCTGTGAGCACCAAAGCTCTGACTGCAGCAATTCTGCAACAGCAAAACTCCCCCCTGGAAAACAGTACCTGGAAAGACAGAACCTGCAGAGTCTCTCCCATTCATGGGCTGTTTTTCTCCTGCCCCAGCTGGTGAGGAGTCAGAGCCCTGCACAGCTTCTTTCAATATCACAATCGAGAGCTCTCAGAGGAGAACTTGGAATCAAACTCCCTTCACAACAATTAGCAGAAGTCCTGGTGCAAACACATCACCTCAATATTTAAATACAAAACCACATTCAATCTTTGGTTTGTAAAAGGTTTTTATTGAAGCTGCCCATATCCTTCCCAGATCTACAGCGTTAGCTTCGCACCTCTACGATTTTTCTTCCACCTATTTTGCACAGCCTTGAATAAGACAGGAGTTTTCAAGAATTTCTTCAGATACAACCCTGATCCTAAATGCATGAAGGAAGCAGGGCTGGCTATTCTGAAGGTAGATACAGGCTAACCAAGTCCAGCCAGCATTTCTTTGTCACCAATGTATGTGCCTGTAGCAGTTCTGACCCACTTCTGCAAGCTGCTCTGCTGGTGAAATCTGACCAGTGGCAGCACTTAAGAATGTACCTGTACACCTGGAAGTGTTTCTTGGACTGTATTCTCAGACCTTGCAGCCCAACCTGCATGCTGCACTTCTTGGGACAGCGGTGTCTTGCGTGCAAAAGGAGCCAAACTGGTCAGCAAACTGTATGTGAAGCGATAACTGAACATAAACGATGTATTCTTATAGGGTTAATTTGTTTCTATGTAAAAACAATAAATATCAGGATGTGCGTTTCTATTTCAAAATATTATTTATACACAGAGATGCAATTTATTGTGTGCTTTCTCATTGGCAGAATAGCAGATAATTCACACACTTCAGAGAAACTAATTGCTCTCAGTGTGTAAGAGCAGGAAGGGAGCACCAAAGTAGATTTGTGCACCAGAGCGCAAAAATTAATCCTGGAAATGATGCCCAGTGGGAATTCTCACCTGCCAGCCTGGTCTGAGGCCCTGGGATGAGTGAGTCAAGTTACCAGGAAAGATGAGGAAATATCCTACCTAGGTGATGTAAAGCAAAATGAAAGGCTGACCACATCCTGGTAACATTAATTAAAAATAACACCCCGACACAGGAAATTAAACCTTTCACGTGAAGCACCAATTAAATCTGTGAACCCGCTTTCAGAAGAAAAATAAATAAATCGTAACAATCAGAAACTGTGTAAATAACCCCCGATTAAAGTCCAAAGCACCTCCTCTTGATCTTCACGCAGGCAGACGGCTGACCCTCTCCCTGCAATGCACTGCCAAGGACTGGTTCCAACACAGGCTCTGTTTGAGGACAGCGCTGCCCTCAGATGATGTCTCCCACACCCACAGCCAGCTCCCTAAAAAGCAGCTGTTCGGTCACCGCTGCCTTTCACCTGCAAAGACTATTTTACTTGTACACAGGGACTCTCATTCCTGCAACCTTAGCACTAGTCTTACAGTACGTGAAATATTAAAGAGCACAAGAATCTTTCGCAGCTGTGTGTAATGCAGCACACCCCAGACCCTATTTATAAAAGAAGTGATGAAGACAAACATTCCTGGATACAAGGCGGCATCAGCAGAGACCAAACACTGCAGCATCCTGTTAGCAACCAGTGTCAGCCAAGAGATGATACAAACATGAGCTTTTCAGTGAAGAATTTTTAATGCACTGGTAGATTCTCATCACGCTGTAAATTTTAAAATAGTTTGTAGTAAATGATGGAAAGTAACCCTTTAAATACCTGAGCTTTTCTGTGTATACTCTACAGTTTTTCTGCCTGCTTTTTCAGTATGCTTTAGTCCTACACCACATCAAAACCTGCTGGTAACCACCTGTGGCTCTTCTTGAACACTTCTAGGGACTTTGGGGAACAAGACTTGATGGCTGAGCTGGGCCCTGCCCATGACAGTAAGGCCTTCACCATAAACAGACAACACAAAATGAGAAAGCTGAAAGATTTTAACTTGAATGCTGTAAGACCAAAGACTTCAGAGTCATTTTCTCACCACTGCATTCTGCTCCACGCTCTTAATAAAAGCAGGGTTAATGGTCTTCAGCTACCCCCATAAAAGTGGGGTAGCTAGGTCTTCAGCCCTTGTGTGTGCAGCAGAACCTTCCTGCCTCTCTCCCCAAGTGCCCCAGCAACACCTGCTTCTTGTTAGCAAAACAAATAAACAGTTTGTTTCTAACCACAAGTATAACTCTCTACCACTGACATTTCTTTGCACGTCTCAGACCACAGCTTCCTTTTGAAACCCTAAACTTACATGCTCCCTTAGTTCTTTAGTAAGACATTAGAAAGATGAGAAAAACAAGAAGCCGTGCAGAGACAGAAGCGACAGTATCTACAGCAACAGCTGAAACAAAAACTAACCCAGGGGTTGTGAAATTCACCGTGCAGGGACATTAAAACAGGCTGAGTGGTACACACTGATGGTGAAATCAAATCTCACGAGTGAGGTGGCAGCTCCCAGGCAGGGCTTGTGCTCCTGGCCACCAATTCCCATGGCACTTCCCAGGCAGAGGCAAATCCTGGCAGCAATGCTCTGCTCCTCACACCTCTGCCTCAGGAGGCCGTGGGAACAGCTGATAACAGTTTTGAAGATGCAGTGCTGGCATTCATGCCCTGCTGTACAAGACCTGCAGGGCAGCGGGTGATGGCACCAGGATTCAGGTGGGAGAGCAGCGAGAGAGCTCTGCAGCAGGGTGCCAACAGCACAGCCGCTGAAGGAGAAGAAAGAAAAGTTTGGCTCTTGGCTTCTAGGACTGCCCAGACCTGAGAGCTTTCAGCATGCCACACCGCAGCTCACGCCTGCAAGCTGGGCACAGCACAGATGACACCTATCTGAGCTTCCCCAGTGGCACTGGCACAGTGCAAAAACCCTCCCAGTTTCATGAGCCGGCACAGCCTGCGTTAGGTAAAGTCTTCCTCTCTCCACCTCCTCACCTTCCTCCGCTCCTTTCCACTGCACGCACTGCTCTCCCCCCGCCGGGGCGCAGCTCGGAGCCGGGGTCGGGCGGCGCTGCGCAGCCCGCGGGCGCCCCCTGCTGGCCGCCCCCCGCGGGGCTCCCGGATGGCAAAGCGGAGCCCGGCGTGGGGGGAAGCCGCCACTCCGGCCTGGCTCTCAGCGATGCTTTCAGCTCTTCGTACGGTATTTTAAAGGCGCTGAAGTCACTGTAGGGTTGCTGCCGCCCTTACCCGCACATCCCGTCACCATGCAAATCTGATTGTTTGAGCGTGACGTCTCTTGCAAAGTCTGACGCTTGATAGCTTTATCAGGGAAGGGCCAAAGAGCGTAGTTATGACTGGCACAGTTCACTTATCAGGGAGCCCTGCTGTGACCAGGGGCCAACCCACGCTCTGAGTGTGGCACAGGTCACCGAAACTATCAGACTTACAGCCCATCTCTCACATGCCAGGAAGTTTTTAGCATGTAAAAAAAATGCTGCTGTTTGTTAGGGACTCCCCTCTTGGTTTTATTTGCATATGAAATTCAGCAGAAGGGTGTCTGAGCAGCACAGTGAATCAGTGCCACTCGTGTGCCCACCTTCTGCAATGATTAGATAGCAATGAAGTGGAAATACATCCATCTTCGATCATATAGCCATAAAACAAACTAAAAAGCAGTAACCCCGCTCACCTTCACAGAATCACAGAACCACAGAATTGCCAGGGTTGGAAGGGACCTCAAGGATCATCAAGCTCCAAGCCCCCTCCCACATGCAGAGCCACCAACCTTCCTACCTAATGCTAGACCAGGCTGCCCAGGGCCCCATCCAAGCTGGCCTTGAACACTTCCAGGGACGGGGCATCCACAGCCTCTCTGGGCAGCTGTTCCAGCACCTCACCACTCTCTCTGTAAAGAATTTCCCCCTGACATCCAACCTAAATCTCCCCTCCCTCAACTTAAAACCATTTCCCCTTGTCCTGCAGTTATCAACACTTTCAAAGAGTTGATTTCCCTCCTGCTTGTAGGCTCCCTTTAGGTACTGAAAGGCTGCAATGAGGTCACCCCGCAGCCTTCTTTTCTCCAGGCTGAACAAGCCCAGCTCCCTCAGCCTGTCCTCATAGTGGAGGTGCTCCAGTCCCCTGATCATCTCTATGGCTCTCCTCTGGACCCTCTCCAACAGTTCCCTGTCTTTCTTGTACTGGGGGCTCCACACTTGGACGCAGTGCTGCAGATGGGGCCTCACAAGAGCAGGGAACAATCACCTCCCTGTCCCTGCTGGCCACCCCTCTTCTGATGGAGCCCAGGATACCTTTTGCCTTCCGAGCTGCAAGGGCACACTGCTGATCATGTTAAGTTTTTCATCTATCAAGACCCCCAGGTCCTTC